TTAATTAAAAAAAAAAAAAAAAGAAGATGCATTATCGCCTTCTGTTCATCAGCACGGGGCTGCCTTCAGAACGGAGTTGTACTCGGTAATACTAAAAAAAATCTGTTTTTTTTTTAAGCCCCTTCTGAGAACCTGCAGAAAAATCTTATCTGTAATCACTACAATTGAGGAAAATGTCCTTAGCCTAGAAGACAGTCCAAAAGCTAAACAAACAGCAAAAGCAAAATCTGCAAATCCTCTCATCACTCTCCAATTTTCCAGTGGCATACTCTGCTCTACCCAGTAAGTAAACAATGGTGAACTGCTCTTTCAAGAGACAACTTCCACTTTTTGAGTCATTATAGTCAAGTTTTCCCCTTGAAGCACAGCCTTCTTTATGCGTATATTCAATTTGGTAGATTTTCCTGGAAACTTAAAACTGCTAAAGAACTATGGAAATAAGCATCTCTATTAACCTCACCATGCTCTAAACTCTCTCTCTCTCTCTCTCTCTCTCACACACACACACACACACACACACACACTGCTAATCATTCATTTGAGCAATGCTTATGCTCAGTTTTCTCCAGAAACACTGCATCAACTATACCTTTGAATATTAGCAGCTCCTGAAATGCCATCTCAACATATGCCTGATGGTTTGCAAATGCTAAAGAATGAGAAAAGAGAAGAGCTCTGCCCCAGATGCACCAAAAGAGGCAAATCCAATCTGTCTCCAAAGCAGTGTGGTCCTTTTAGGAAACACGATCAGCAAGTCCCAGCTGCTCCACTTCCGATCCGGCTCTCTGCTATGGCCTGGGAAAGCAGTACAAGATGGTCCAAGTCCTTGGGTTCTTGCACTCGCTGGGGAGACCTGAAAGAACTTCTAGGTTCCTGGCTACAGATCGGCGCAGCTCTGGCCATTGCAGCCATCTGGGGAGTGAACCAGTGGATGTAAGACCTCTCTCTCTCTCTCTCTCTCTCTGCTTCTCTGTAACTGTGCCTTTCAAATAAATAAACTAATTAATTAAAAAAAAGTTCATCAAGAATATCTCAAAGAATTACTTATCGATGCCAGAGGAAAAGTCTAAAAAGAAGGACTTGTTTTTCATCCAATTGGTAAGTCTAGTTTCTTGACAGATTTTAAGTAAAATTTGCCACACGTAAACATCTTTGTTACATTTTATATATAAATTTGTATTCCTATGGTGTTTGTGTTGATTTTATTTCATATAAGGCCAACCACTACGATTACATTCATAATTTTACTTTTCACAGTTCAAATTTAACACTTTGTCATTAGCCTCAATATGCTACTTATAACCTAACAAATCTAATATGATGACTCTTTTAAAGTTGTGTTCTCCATTGCAAATCAGACTACTCACTCAAATACATTAATAATACAAAACAACAAGATTGCCCAATACGGAGAGTATGTATCAAAAATTTTAAACTACTATGTCCAAATCTTTGTATAAATAAATAAGTTATTTGGGTTTGCATATCCTTCAGTGCACATATCTTTCAACGACTATTTTTTATTTACTCATTGTTGAAGAAAACAAGTTTTCAAGAGAGTTCAGTCAATATGCTAGGCCAAACAACGCTTCCTCAAATGTGCCCATCTTCCTTTTTGACAAGTTCCATGGCAAACGACAGAGCCCATTAAAGATCTTGAGGTGGGAGATTATCCTGGATTAACTCTGAGCCGAGCATTACCACAAGGTCCTTACAAAGAAGCCTCAAACATCACACGCATTTGGTGATCATTTAAGTCAAGGAGATAGGACCTGGGAACCAGACAGACGTCAGAGGGATGCAACTGCCAAAAGGTGGCCACAAGCCAAGGAAAGCATGCAGCCTGCAGACTGGCAAAAGCAAGGTACATATTCTCCCTGGAGCGTTCAGAAGGATATCAGCCCTGCCAACACTTAGCCTTCAGCCCTCTAAGACCTACGGATGGATATCTGACCTGCAGAACTGTAGAGTAATAAATCTGTGTTAGGTTAAAACACAAAGTTTGCAGTAGTTATTACATTAACAGGAAACTAAGTTAATTTTATTAGTCACAAGCAAAAACTGATCAGGATGAAAATCAAGTGGTATGTGTACAATATCCAAAACTACTTGGGAAAAATACACCAAATACTAAAATTAACATCTGACTCGAAACAGTATCTTTTGCTATCAGACTTACTTAATGAGCTTACTAATTATGCAGGACTCTGAGGACAGTATACAATCATTAGATAAGCATATTTTTGATCCACTATGTGGCAGACACTGATAATTAAAAGATGAATAGTTTAAATACATTAAGGCAGAAATCCCTACTTTTAGGTAATTCTGAAGAGATACACAAGTAAACAGTTAGAATATTGTGATAGGGGCTAAAATTGAGGAGAAAAAAAGAGAGAAAGGTGTTTCAACTGGGGATAGAGCTTGCACAAATGAAATGGCCAACTAGTCCAAAGGGAGGAGGTGTGCAGAGAGACCTGAAGCTAAACCAAACCAGGTATATCATGAAGGGAGCAATTAGCCATACATAAAATTGGACTTTCCCCCTCAAGCCATGGGAAACCATAGAAGGGGCATTAAGAACTGCAGTGACTGATACAATTAAATTTTAAAAGAAAACCTCTGCCTGGGATGTGATGGTCATGAAGAAGGGCTTGAAAGCAACAGAGAACAGAAGGATGGGCCACTGTGGCATCTTAGGCTTATTCCACCATATTTCACTGTTCATTCACAAGCATTCGGTGATCACTTACCTCCCACCAAGAGTGCTAGGCCAAGTGCTAGGTGATTTCAGGGACCGGTGCTGTGGCGTAGTGGGAAAGCCTCCACCTGCAGTACCGGCATTCCATATGGGAGCTGGTTTGAGTTCTGGCTGCCCAACTTCCAATCCGGCTCCCTGCTAATGCATCTGGGAAAGCACTAGAAAATGACCCAAGTCCTTGGGCCCCTGCACCCATGTGAGAGACCCGGAAGAAGCTTCTGGCTTCTGGTTTTGGCCTGGCCCAGCCCCAGCTGTTGCAGCCATTTGGGGAGTGAACCAGCAGATGGAAGATTCATTCTCTCTCTCTCTCTTCTCTTTCTCTCTCTCTCTCTCTCGCTCTCTCCTTCTTGCTATTTGTATTCCTGCCTTTCAAATAAATAAATCTTTTTTAAAAAAAGAAATCATATTTTCTACAATAAGCACCAAATTCACACCATAAGGAATCACAAATCAAAATGGAAAATAGTTAGGTGCATACTTTTCAAAAATGCTTTCTAATTGTTCTGCATTCTTGCTCCTCCCCTAAAAGGACTCAAAAAGCTTCCCCTCTGACAGGTTTCTAAAAAGCACTATTTTTTATATTTATTTTTTAAAAGATTTATTTATTTATTATTTGAATATTTCAATAAAAGGTTAAAAAGATGATTTCCTATTTTCCGTATCCTAGGAATATCTTATGCATCACATACACAGACTACAACAACAACTACTTTGTTAGGAAAAAAAATATGTAGTCCTAACAATGTGAAGCAATTTAAAACTGCAAGCTTTGCATTTTTCAGGATCAGTTAAATCCAGAAACAGGATGACAACTCTTCCCTAATCCCACCAGGAAAAATCAATCATCCCATTCTCTGCTCCCTTCTCCCTCTTGAATTACAGGAGCCGCCACAATCCACTCTATATCACAGCTGGACTGGACGTGCACACATCTGTTTCATCTGTAAGAAGACAAATTTAATTCTCTGGCACTTCTTTGTACCTAAAAGCCTGGTGCTATCACACTCAATGTTTATGTTCGGTCAACTCGTTCAAGAGAACTTGGCTAAATGTAATTAATTAACAACAATTAGATATAATACTTATGTCAGTGCTACTCAAATAGTGGTTTCAGAAAATATCTGGGGAATTTACAAACATCATAATGAATGCTGCAATGGCAAATATTTTTTCCTTCCTCTGTTATGGAAGGTTACCTCAACACAAAAATGTTTGAACTCAGAGAAGAAGTGGTATTTAGATGTTGGTAAATGCTAATTTACATTTAACATCATACCCACAGAATCATTTTAGAACTAAAATTTTTTTAGTATTCCGTAGAGAATCAAATAATCAGTGCTCATTAAACATTCATCACAGTTGTTATGATTACAAATATTATTAAACTCCTAATAATTAATAAAGTAGAGTAATGATAAGAATATGCCAAAACAGAAGACAAGTCTAAAATCACGGAAATTTGGTCTGGAATGACACAATCTCAAACTAATTTTTAAATTTAAGAGTGACTGATTAGGGAAGGGGAACAAAATGAAGACAAGATGTGAAGTGTGACAGAGAATAAACCAGAAGACAGTCTAAGCTCCCTATCCTGTCAGCGCTGAAAACTCTCCAGGCTCTGGCTCCTAGGCTAAAATTAGTATTCCACTTAGCCATGAAAGCCCCACTGTGGTAACCTGCTCCAGGGACCAGGGGTACGTTTACTCTCTGAAGTTATCATGACTCCTCAGGGCTCAGGGAATAATGAGTTCTTTCAGCTTACAGGCTCCTAGTCAGACCCAAACAGATGGAAAAGTGCATGCAGACAGTGGCTAGGGTATGTCACTGACAAACAACTGTTTTTCCCTGTTGAGGGTAGCCATCAACAATTAAAATGCCAGATTGGTCACAGAGTCTCTAGAGTTAACAAACAGATTCTAAAACTAAGAACCAGAGCCACAGAAGTGACTAGATTTGCCAGACAGCTGGTTTCTAACCAAACAATGTTCATTTCAAATAATCTGTGGGTAAATACTGTACTTCACACATGAACTTTCCATGGGAATTTGTAAAGTGTTTCATTATTTTGGTTATAGTCACCTAAAAGTAGTCAAAATTACACTAATGATGTCATTATATAGAAATCAAAGCACACTGCCAAGTACAGGAAAGATCAGGTAAATTGTGAAACAGATTCTCATTAGAATGAGTGCAGAATACCAGGGAGCTAGGTTTCCCCATTAGAGAATAAAACACTTACCAAACGCTGTCTCCCAGACACTTTTCTAAAGCCAAAGTTGTAACTGAAGCAGCAGTAGGGAAATCAAGCCACCTGCTCCTTTCTCTACACCAGTCATTCTCCACGAGAGGAAAAGGAGGAACGTCAACTGAAGTCACGAGAGAGAGTTTCAACACCCAATGTTGCTTTCCTTCCCCCTAAGGGCAATATACACCCCCTCCCCAAGAACTCTGGTATGTGCCACTGAGACAGCATTCCTAACCAGAAGCATAGCTCTAAGCAACAGAAGAGACCAGGAAAAATGGAGGGGAAAGGTTTGATATTCTTCCACCGACCTTGCCAAGTGCTTTGGATAACCAAGAACTTTGACACCCAAGTAGTGGGAATTAGAAGAATATGGAGACAGGACAACAGGTTAACTTTCACAATTTTCTTAAAGTATTGAATAAGCAAAGAGCAGAAAAAACCAACACCTGAAAAAAGTAGCAGCTGCTAGCTAGGGTCACAGGGCAAAGGTAAGGTAACCACTGATACTGGAAAAGCCCAAGAAAACACACTTTGTTGTGAGAAAAGGCTGACAAATCAAACAACACCTTTTAGTAAAAGAAAAAAAAAAACCTGTGGTCATCAATTTAAATAAAGGAATAATAAAGCACAAGAGAAGAGAAAAAGCAGATCAAAACAATTAATACCTTCATGTGATAAGTTAGAAATCAGTTTTTGTTCATGCTTCATTTCTTTATTTTATTGAACACGCTGATGAAATGTGGAATCTTGGATTTAAAATAATGATGATAAACTCCCAAATTTTTCTGTAAACTACCTTAAGACTCACAAGCCAATTCAAAGAGAAATAAAATACAATAGCTCTGGCTTTGGGGTTGATCATTTATTTCTGTTGTCTAGATGGCTGTTCATAATCCTGTATTTCAGCATTTCTGCTGGCATTTCATTTCTATATTAATTTATAATGTTAATCATGAATTACTGGTTTTAATTTCTCTACTTTTTATTTCACTATTGAAAGAACATTCTATTAGTGCCATCATTTACTTATTGTTTACTGTGGACCAGTCCATTTGCTAAGCATTTTATTCACATAATTTCATTCAATACTCACAAAATCTCTGGCTAAATACGATCATTTCTACTTTTCATACAACACTTCAAAAAGTCACTGCTCAAGGTCACAGAGACTTCATTAACCCTTCAGAGCTAATGTTGACTGTAGGACTGGGTGAGCCCCAAAGCCTCTGGTTTTCTCTCGTACTACACTGAAGCTAGTTTTCTAACATCATGCAGACAGCAGAGGTATGATTGTCACATAGGTAACTGCCATTTCTGTTTTTCAGCTTTACAGAATTTGAACTTATCTATGGGTGTATATGTTATACATCTCTGTTAACCATAAATCATAGAAAAATGCATGGAACTATTCTCAAAAATGCTCAAGTTTTTAAGTGAATAATCAACAACTGAAAAAACACTTCCGGGGCTGGTGCTGTGCCTCACTTCGCTAATCCTCCACCTGCACACCGGCATCCCATATGGGCGCCGCGTTCTAGTCCTGGTTGCTCCTCTTCCAGTTCAGATCTCTGCTGTGGCCCGGGAGGGCAGTGGAGGATGGCCCAAGTTCTTGGGCTCCTGCACCCACATGGTAGACTGGGAAGAAGCACCTGGCTCCTGGCTTAGAGCCAGCACAGCGCCGGCTGTGGCAGCTATTTGGGGGGGGGGGGGGTGAACCAACGGAAGGAAGAGCTTTCTCTCTGTCTCTCTCACTGTCTATAACTCTACCTGTCAAAATAAAAAAAATTAAAATAAAAAAAAAACACTTCCTTGTCTACAGGATCTGTGGACTGGATGTAGAAATGCAAGTATAAATTACCTATGAACTTTAAGTATATTATTTTCTCATTTGTACCAGAGGGATAATAATAACTCTTGCTATATTTTTCTCAGAAACCACTGACAGGATCTAAGAGATAATATATGTAAGACGCTTTATAAACTGTGGTAATCACCCAGAAATGTAAGGTCCTAGAAGTGCTAAAATCATCAGTCTTACCCAGAGTAACACTTAGCAGTGGTGATATTCTTTCTGTCTTATTGGCTATCAGTAATTGATATAAAGGGTATGAAAAGTTTTGAATTGATAAATTCATAATTTACTATCATGCAACAAACATTGATGGATGACAGAAAATGTTTCAAGCCTAAATGGAATTCACCACTCATTACTCCCTTAAAAAATGTAAACAGAAAAAGTTATGAAATATTGCTGTAAAATCCTTGACTATTCATCACATTCATAATCTGGTTTGATGAATTCCATAGGCCTACGTCACAGCCTAGAAATCTTTGCTTTTAAAGTTACTCCAGGTAATTTCAAATTACAATTGCTTCAGAAATTACTTCTCTTTTCTATAATTACTGTCCTTCCCCAAGTCAAGGAAGTCCTATGTAGTACACACATTCAGCCTGTCTAGACAGTTTACAGTAAGAAGAAAATGTGTACTTTAGAATGAATGAAGTAAGTACAGTCTCACACCCATATTTTAGGATAACCCAGACCCCCAGAGGGTACCTACTTTGTACTTGTGCAACCTCTATGCCTCAAGACATGCCATAGTTTTAAATCAGAAATAAAATTTTGTTAATCAAATCAGGTTACTGTAAATATTTTTTGCAGAAACTCACTACAACACATTGATCCTAATTGCTGTCAAAATAAATGCTCCTTTCTTGGGGCCATTAGGTCAGGCTTGGTGAGATTTTTCTAAACTCAAATACACTGTCCTCAGCCCAGGACTCTGCTACATGACTTTGAGAAAATCATCACACTCTTGTGGTTATTGTGTCTTAGAAGAGAAGGGATAGCAGTAAACTATGTCTATTTTTTAAATTATTCATTTGTTTATTTCACATATTTGAAAAGCAGAGAGACATAGAAAGACAGAGATAGAGGGACAGATTTCCCATCCACTGTGTTACACCCCAGATGCCCACAACAGTCAATGGTGGACCTAGAACTTAATCACTTCCTCCCATATGGGTGGCAGGGACCCAAGTACTACAGTCATTATCTGCTGCCTCCTGGGGTGTACATTGGCAGGAAGATGGATCAGAAGTGGAGGAGGCAGGACTCAAACTAGGCACTCTGATATGTGAAGCAAGTGCCCCATATGGTGTCTTAACCACTATACCAAACACCCACCCCTGGGATAGACTATTTCTGAAGTTCTTACCGGATTTAAAATATCTGTATTGTCCATAGTCTGACATTGCTTCTTACATGTAATCTTTACATCTCCAATCAGTTCCATGAGGACAAAGACCTTAAATAACTTTCTCCAGGATATACATACAGGGACATGGACATGGACATAAACATACATGTGGAAAACCAACACATGTGCCTAGTACAATCCCGGGCTAAGTCTCTGCCTGGGTAGCATCAACCCTTGCTTTTCAAACTACCTGCCCTGCCATCTGTGGCCCTTTCCTCTTAGACTACAGAAATGCTCCTCACTTTCCTTCCCACATAGAATTTTCCCCAACTCATGATCACAATCTCAGGGTTGAAACAAATGCAAACAACTATAATGGGTGCTGATTTTCCTACTCTTCCAGTTCTTATCACAATTTTGTAATTTCCTGAGTACATCTCTTCTGATCAAAAAAAAAAAAAAAGAGAGAGAGAGAGAGAGAGAGATGTATCTTGTTCCCTACAATAACTCCCAACTATAGCAACATTAAATGTATAAACAAAATATATCAGAAAAATGTTAATTTACCACTGTACCACTGGCCATGTGCTCTTAAAGGACTATGTAATGTTAAAACTATAAATTATTTGGCCAGCACTGTGGCTCAATAGGCTAATCCTCTGCCTAGCAGCACCGGCACACCTGGTTCTAGTCCCGGTAGGGGCACTGGATTCTCTCCCGGTTGCTCCTCTTCCAGTCCAGCTCTCTGCTGTGGCCTGGGAGTGCAGCGGAAGATGGCCCAAGTGCTTGGGCCCTGCACCCACATGGGAGACCAGGAGAAGCACCTGGCTCCTGGCTTCGATCAGCACGGTGCACCAGCTGCAGCGCGCTGGCCGCAGCAGCCACTGGAGGGTGAACCAACGGTAAAGGAAGACCTTTCTCTCTGTCTTTCTCTCTCTCACTGTCCACTCTGCCTGTCAAGAATAAAAAAATAATAATAAAATAAATAAAAATTTAAAAAACTATAAATTATTTATGATACATATACTCACATAGGCACCTGTTATTATGTGTCCAAACCCTATAATATAAATGTAAATGCTATAATTATAATCATACACTTAAGGGTATGCAGTTCAAATGTGTGAATGAATATAGTACATAATCCTTTCATGTGTATCTGAATTTCACAAACTGTGCTATAAGCGCCATTTTCACATTTTAGGAGTCAGTAACCAGAGCAACTTGTATAAAACATCACATAATCTGCTATAGTTTCAAAGGCTGACTTCAATTCATTTTTAAATGGGAGCTTGCTAAAGTTTATGATCTACTGAACATGACCTGAGGAAGTGTTTCAAATGCACTGAAGGAAATAGCCTCTCCATTACTATTAATTTACTTTCTCATTACCAAAATGCTTTATTTCCTTGGCAAAAAGCCCATTAATTCCACATGCCTTATGGTTTAGATTTTAGCACCTCATATATTCAGCCAAGCACCATAAATAAGATACCTATTTTAATTAATATGTTCACTATGAAGCATAAAATGCTTTTTTTAAAACATGAGAAATAAATTTTCACAGAAGTTCAAAGAAACACTGCATTCAACTTGAAAGAGACTTTTGTCCCAACTCCATCATTTCAAAAGTGCATTTAATAAACATTTATTATGCATTTTCTCAATGCCTGGCCCAAGACAGAAGGAATAAAACAAAGATTAAAGCAGTCCCTGTACTGGGTATTCACAAACTCTCAAAGTATCATCCCACAACTTCTTTATCAGTTACAAAGGAGAAAAGTTACGTTTTGATGGAAAAATCTGAAGTGTCACCTTAATTTACTTTCCAAACACAACATCACCAATAACAGATCAAAGGACATGCATGCCCCTTAGGTGATGAAATGTAACGAATACAACCTCACACATGGAACAATCTTGCCATAATGTTTAACGTGAAGCTAACAGACCATAAATTGGACAAAAATCAGCCAGTGAGGCACTATTTAACAAAACCAGTCAGTGCTCTTCAAACCTATCAACCCAATAAGATAAAAGGCGGCAGGGCCTTTTCTAGATTAAAGGAGACTAAAGAAGCATGACAGCAAAATGCAAAGCATGTTCCTTGCTTGCATCCTAGATTGGGGTAAAAAAGAAAAACAACTTCTAAGGACATTTCTAGGACAACTGGAAAAAATCTGCATATTGACTACATATAACTTTATTTTATCAATGTAAAATTTCTCGACTGTAATAAAGATACACTGGTTGTGGTATAAATGAAAACATACTTGTTTTTTTTTTAAAATACATGCTTAAATATGACATCCACGACTTTTGAATTTTTTGGCATTTAATAAACTCAACAATGCAAATATCCCAAAAGGTTAACAATTGGGTGAACCTACACAAACTGAATAGTGTCCATAGTACTGCTTTCCACCTTGCACTTGAAAATTTTTTCACTCTACACAGGTGGAACATGAGGCTGCAAGGAAATCTTAAGAAGCCTCCATCAGCAGGAGTTTTGTTAAACACCAGCATACAGAGACCAGATCCATCAGTTTGCATAATCTGATGCCACCAACCATACCATTCTTTCTCAGTACCCTCATCTATTAAAAAAAGTAACAGTAACAACTTGTTTTTTCATTACAGTAGAAAAAAGGTGGCAATTATTATACCAATGCTTATATGTATGCAGTGAAACAGGAATATTCATAAACTGCTAGTTGCACTGTAAATTAGCAAAACCTTCATGAAAAGCAACTTGAAAGCATGTGTACAGAATCAATAAAATCTACCTTAATTCTTCCACACTTCTATCACTGGTAATAGATTTACAAAATCTAGTAAGCAATTTTTGTCTATAAGTCTCCACCAGTTATTTCAACAGTTGTCACCTACCAAGTCCAATGGACTAAAAGATATAACTTGTAACTTTGGTAACCAAGTGCAACAGTTGTTTATCTTTGTGCCCTTAAGGCTTATACTTAGTAACAACTGTGCCTCATTGTAGATTAGCCTCCGATCTGTAATATTTCACTGCTAACTGCAAAAGGCATCCCTGGCTCAACCTGGCTCCCAGGCCCACAGGATCTGGTGGTGCTGCTGCCTTGGCCGTGACTCCTGATGGAGGCCTTCTTAAGACTTCCTTGTAGGGGCTGGCGCCATGGTGCGGTAGGTTAATCTGCCGCCTGCGGTGCTGGCATCCCATATGGGCGCCAGTTCTAGCCTTGGCTGCTCCTCTTCCAATCCAGCTCTCTGCTGTGGCCTGGGAAAGCAGTAGAAGATGGCCCAAGTGGCCCACATGGGAGACCAGGAAGAAGCTCCTGGCTCCTGGCTTTGGATTGGCACAGCTCCGGCTTTTGAGGCCATTTGGGGAGTGAACCAACGGAAAGAAGACCTTTCTCTCTGTCTTTCCCTCTCACCGTCTGTAACTCTACCTCTCAAATAAATAAATAAAAATCTTTAAAAAAAAAAAAAAGATGTCCTTTTAGTCTCGTGTTCTTTCTGTTTAGAGTTAAAAAAAATTATTTGGACTAACTTGAGATCAAGCAAGTAGAGGTCAAATATTCATGGTTCTGCTATCTCTACAATTCCTATCATTTTCTCACAGGGTATCATGCCCTTTGCTTTTATTGAAGGTCATTACAGCAAGAGCCATTTTAAAAAATGCTTCCACATACACTGTGAATCCACAGTGTCTTAATGTTACATCCAGTCTCTGTGACAAATTAGAGTTGAGTGTCAAGAAAACCAATTTCCTTTGAGGAGCTTGTATTCTGCTCTGCTCTCAGATAACTTATCAGACGCGGGTTCCGTTCTGTTACTTGGGAGGCTCAAGAGTCAAACTTGATGTTGAATCAAAACTCTGCTACCACTTGTGGATTTGGTATTAGCTTCCTTCTCCTTTCTTTGGTTCTCGCCTTCCATCTATTTTATTGATTACTGTTATCAGAAGCCACTCCCAAGACCTCTTTAGAAAGAGGCACAGTATGAACCAGTTCATTAAACAAATTTGGAAGTGCAATATAGTGATAAAAATGTTTTGGAACCAGGCAGAATGGATGGCTGCAAGCATCATGAATGTGCTAAATGCTACCGAATTGCATAGTTACTTATAATGGCTAATTTTATATTATATGAGATGTACCCCAACTTTAAAAAAAAAAAAGTGCAGCAGAATCACAGCAAATACATATGTTCAGCAGCCAAACATCTTCTGAGTCTTCACCTTTTCACTGTGGTATGGAGGAAAACTAAGCTCTCCCTTGCCACTCATGTGGCCTCTCCCTTGCAATCACTCCTCTATCTTCTAGTAAAATTTTCTACTGCTCAGCTTATGCTAAAAATCCTTAAGGGTAGATGCTGTGATACAGTGGGTTAAGTCACCACTTGGGACACCCACAACCCCTATGGGAGTGCATGGTTTGAGTCCCAGCTACTTCTCTACTTCCAATCCAGCTCCCTGCTAATGTGCATAAGATGTGCATAATGTACAGCATAAGATGGCCTATCAAATAAGTAAGTCTCTCTTTTTTGTAAAAGTAACCCTCACAATTGTCTTTTTTAAAGGACATTCTGTTAGGCCAATCTGGTATTTGGACTCAGAGAATTCTTTTTGTCAAAGGATACCTTTCACAGAATCCTAGTCTATAAATCACATAAAACCAGCTGCTCTGGTTAAAGACATCGAGCGATGTGTCCCAGGCCTTGAAACTCACTCTCTTCCCCTGGGTTCCTCCACAGGTCTTTGTAGCACACCCATGGGCCACACAGAAAGTAGAAATGGACACTTTATGAAGATAAAAAGAGGTGTTCATTTAACACTGCAAGAAAGCCACCACGAAAATGCTCCTATCTCCTGTGATCCATCATTACTTTCCTCCTCCATTCCACTCCAACCTGCTGGTTTACTGCACAAACACCCACAGCCAGGCCAAAGCCAGGAGCCAGGAGCCCGACATGAACCTCTCAAACAGGTGCTGGTCCCCTGCTGCCTCCCAGGATGCCCATTACAGGACGCTGGAATGGAAGCAGAACTAGGGACTCTGATCCGGGATGTGGGTGTCCCAAGTGACACCTTAACCCCATGCCAAGCACTCACTCCACTGCCTAATTTTAATTGGTGTTTTAATTCAGCTTTGTCAACCCATGCGACAGTTTTTAGAAAGACACCCTTATAGTTTTATAAAGACATACACAGGGAGCTTTCATAAATGACTAAGACTATTTGGGGTCATTAAACTTCAATATTGTATCTTTATCTTCCATGGAGGAGAGACAAAAAAAAGCTTATCTAAATATAATCAAGCCTCAAGGAACTCATGTAATAAAAGCAGTCAAGAGTAAAGTGATGAAAAAAATTCAAACCTAGTAAAAATTCAGTCCAAAAGAGATTTACTTACTTAAAACTACTTCATGTATTTAAGAAACAATTTATAGCTGTCATCCAAAAATATAAAACTCATTCAAGTACAATATTTTAAAATATACTCATTATTTGGTTTGCTTGACAAGAAATGGCCATATATTTGGACCAGTACTGTGATACAGCAGATTAAATCACTGCACGCAACGCCAGTGTTCCCTATCCAAGTGCCAGGGTTTGAATTCCAGCTTCTTCACTTCCAATCAAGCTCCTTGCTAATGCGCTTGGGAAAGCAGAAGAAGAAGGCCCAAGTGCTTGGGCCCCTGTCACCCACGTAGAGGAACTGGATGGAGTGCTTTGGCTCCTGGCACCTGGCCTAGCCTCCAGCTCCTTCAGCCATCTGGGGAGTAAATCAACAGAGAGAAGACTGATCACCCACCCCACCCCCATCATTCGTCATTCTGTCAAATAAATAAATAAATCTTTAAAAAAAGTGCCTTATGTCAAAATGATTGTATGAACAGTTTCTTAGCTA